CATCGCCACAGTCAAACGGCCTAGTAGAAAAATTTGGAATTTTGGTACAAATATCTTGAAAGGCACACGAACATCCTCCAATTGGAATCACTCTAAAATTCATCATTTGGATCACTTTTTCCTCCAGAGGAAGTCGAATGTCCTATTTTGAAAATATATAACAAAATATCTAAATTCTACCAAAATAGCTAATAAATTATAACTAAGATTAGAGTAAAATATATAGTATAATATGGACTCATCATATGGTACCAAATAAACCCATCCAAAACGCTGTGTAAAAGTGGTATGGACAACGTGCTGAAATTGGGACCTGTTTTTTGCACGTTGATCAAATCGTACATGTATATAGTTCCATAATTCTGTGCAAGTGTGTGTGTCTGTCTATACATATATAACTATATATACATAAATATTAATAAGGTGGTGTGTGTGTGTGTATATATGTATATCCAAGTAGTACTAGTACCTGCTGAATCACCCAAAACAAAGCGCAACAAGCCTTTACAATGAAAAATAGACAACCGAGCGTCAAATTCTGACCCGCCAAACCCAAGAGAGATTTTGGTGGGATCGGTAATTGTGTGTTTAATAACTTTGTGCCTTTGATAAATGTCATGTAAATGGCTCCACCAACGCAGATGATTGTTCCAATTATCTTGGCATTACTTCTCAAGCTTCGTACATTGACTTTCTCGAATCTAAAAATATACACACATACACAAGGAAACATGTAAAACTGTTAGATTAAAGTTCAAAAACATCTATAATAAAGTACAAATGCACAAATTAACAAATTGAGATCAAGTTCAATAAAGCATTTCTTGGCAAAATTAACTGAGAAATTATCATTTTCTTTTCATAAACAAGGAATGAACTCCATAAGACGTCCCTTAGAACACCACTGCTCTCTAGCTTAATTTTTTTATTTTTTTATTTTAACTTTACTATTATTAGGGAGGGGGAAAAGTTCGAAACTAATACACTCATTTAGGGTAGGGGAGAATTTCAAATCCATAAGATATTCCTTAGAAACCCAACACTTTATCTACTAGGATATCAGACATAAATATTTTAATAATCTTAAATTTAATTTTGATAATTTTAACCTCCACATGATTGTATCAAAAACAAAATTCAAAACATTAATAAAGACTAAAACAGAATGAAAGTAAATACACAAATGTTCAAAATAGCATTAAATATTAGTCATTAGTGGGAGCAGACACTAGTCCCTTTCGCTGTCTTCTAATTTAGAGAAAACGAGTTAACCGTAATGTGACGTCTCAATACAACAAAATATTATCATGTGAAAAAAAAAATTTCACACATGATAATGCATTATTAGACAAGAAACGTCATGTGGCAATGAATCCGTTCCATGTAAATCATTCTCCTAATTTAGGAGCTTCAAGAGTTTATTTTTTTCGAAATTCTTCATAAATTGAAGTAATTCAATAGAAAAAAGCAAACTATGTGTGTAGGCACACTAGTACAAAAAACACTTTACGAGAAGCAGGTCCTTTGTCGCGCAAAGTCAAAAAAACATGGCGCAAAAATTAGCCCAACGAACCTTCGTCGCGCCAAGGCAATGATAGTAGGGTTTGCGCGACAAAGAAGTAACCTACGTCGCGCAAAGAAGAAGTAACCTACGTCGCGCAAAGTGGTTTTGCACGACGTAGGTTATTTCTTCGTTGCACAAACCCTTTTTTTTTTTTTTTTTTTGGCAAAAATATTTTTTATTTAATTTTTAATAAATATTGTAATTAAATTATAAATGTGACAGCTCGTCCCGAATTTTTCGTGCTGCAGGTGTGAAATGACGATTTTGCCCCTAGTGGATAATTGTTGTTTGTGTGGTTGTTTTGGGTGCTTGGTTGGTTGCATCTCAGCCACACATCCATCTTCATTTCCATCACCCTCTCCCGTTGACTCTCTCTATCCCGTGTCCTTGTCTTTCTCTCCCTTCTTCTTTTGCTTGTGTACGGACAAGACCAAGTCACTCGAGAACGTTGTAGATCGAGGAAGAAAATCATACCTTTGTGTTCGTGAAGTCCATACGAGTTCAACCATACCCATTTCAGGTAAGGACACCTTCGTTTTCACGTCGAACCCGAGATGTTCAATTAGGGATACTGTTCATGCACACGTAAATTCATGTGTTTTTGGGAATTTCAGGCTTGTAGGAAGCTTGGTGAGGTCCTTAGGAAGCTTAGGGTGGTTCGTTTGAAGGTTTTGGACGTCGGGATCGTGAGTTGCAGGTTTGGCCGGATTTGGTGAGGTTTTTCCGGCGAGATTCCATTGGTTTTAATGCTTGAAAGTGGTAAGGTTTTGTTCCTCTAGTTGTAAGCTTCATTTTGGTACCAATTTCGTGAAATTTGGGTGAAAAACGAGTGAGAAATTAAGCTTAGAAGATTTCTCGGTTTTCCGGCGACGACGACGGCAATGGCGCCGGAGGTTGGCCGGAGAAGATGATGGAATATTCCGTCAGTTTCGACTGAATATTCCAAACGGCGTTAGGTTAACTTTAAAGGAATCTGTCAGATATAACGGAATATTCCTGACGGTGTTAACTGACGCCGTCAGTGTGCCAGGCACGTGCCTGCGCGTGGGCGGCGCATGTGGCCTTGCCTTGGCCGGCGCGTGGGGGGGCGTGCGACGTTGGAAAATTATTTTAAAAATATGGGGATGTTCGTGAGGTTGAGTAGATCACGTTGGTGTATTCACACACCCCATTTGAGCATTGTATGAGAAGTTATTACCTAATTTGGGTTATGTGCTTTAAATTAACGTTTTTATAGTTGTTTCGCATATAGGTGAGACCTATCCTGAGGACGAGCGCAGTCACTCGAGGTAAGGGGGTTATGACCCTTTTACATACCAATGAGTGGGCTTTTGGTTTTCCGTATATACCTATATACTTGTGATTTTCCCAGAAAACGAAATGAAATCTTTATATGTTTTAAATGCCATGCATTATGTTGCCTATTTATTTATGCATTATTAGTTGCATATACATATGTTTGGTGTTGCGGACGTGTAGGTAAGTTATGGTTTACGTTTTGTCTTTAGTAGTGATTTGAGATGCATAGAGAGCTCATAACCTGCACCCCCGGTGTTAGTGCTCCCGCCCAGAGTAGGGCACAATCCTTCACGTGATGTTCACCTCTCGCACCACACGCTCATCTTGGATCTAAGTTAGGTGCATAGTCCTGTCGTAAAGACCACTTTAGGTGGTTCCGACTCGTATGTGACCCGTGATTATTCGCCTAGTCTTCACGTGATCGTAGCACTTGAGCGTATTTATTTACACCTAGTCCTGTCGTACAGACCACTTTAGGTGGTTCCGACTCGTGTGCAGGTATAGTTTGTGAGTTGTGGATTTGAGCTCTAAATTCAGTCGTACAGGTCACGTTAGGTGACTCCGGCTGACAAATTACATGGCATTGATTGACATTACCTGAGTACTTACATTCTATTTAGAGGCATTCGACATGACATACTTCTGAGCATGTTTTATATATATGTGCATATTCTATTTTCTGGGAAGCTATAAAGGTTTTACGGCAAGGGGTTAGAACTTTTGATATTGAAATGATTTTGAAAAGCTTTGTTTTTGCCCACTCACACTTTCTATTGTGCACCCCTCCAGGTTCTAGTTTGGATAGCTCTTTTGGTGGCTCTTGAGGAATTCACGGCATATCTGACAAATTATCACTAATGTAGGACCACCTCTGGGTGTGTTTATTTATTGTTTGTTTCCCCTGGACTGCACTAGGTCTTCCGTGCTCTGAATATTGTTTTTTCACACTTACGCTTGCACATGTATGTTATTTACTCAGTGTACAGCTTGGTTTTTATTTATTCGTACTTTTAGCTTCCGCACTGTGCACATGGTTACATCACTCTCACGTGACGGCCAGCATGCCCTGACTTCGATTGGGGTGTGTCAATAAACAATAATAAAAAAACCAATGGAAATTGGGGCAAGAAATATATGTTTTTTGGTAAAATTTCCACTAAGCTTGGTTTAAAGAATATTTTGTATTATCATTAATAAAAAGAAACGCATATAAGATCGATGTGGTAAAGCCAATACATTCATTATAAACCTAAGATATGGTTTGAATATATTAGCACGCGTCCTCAAACTCCAAAAATACAAACTTGAATTCTTTCAAAGACGTGCAGATAAAAGCATCTTCCCTTTGTATGAAGCTCCTTCATCACTCCTTCATATAGCTTTTTCATCACTCCTTCATATAGCTCCTTCATGTATCTCACTACTTCATGCAGCTCGCTACAATTTATGTAGGTCCTTCATCACTCATCATATCTCACTACACCAAAACCACACAACCACAAGTTTAATTATGATACAAATATCACTACACCAAAACCACACACCCTCGTTGTTCTAACAATAGGTTGAAGAGAAGATATAGGAAACAAAGGCAATATACAGATTAAGGGAACAAAGGCAATACCAAAGTTCATTACATTTAATAGTTCTCAAAGCAAATTGAAAGCTTAAGTACATGGAAGATAAGGTTGGCTTGTAGCTACCATTTGAAATAAAAGCAGTAATTCAATGATTAAATTGATTGACAAGTTCACCAATAAATTACTTGAAAAGTTCATGCACATTAACCCAGTTAAATACGATGTTTAGAAAGTAACTAAACCCGTTTAATTAGAGCAATGATATTTCAATACAAGATTATTTAAAAAACCAATGGTTCAAGAAATTACAGAGACAACATTGAATAGGGACAGAAAGAGAGAGAGAGAGAGATAGAGAGAGAGAAATTGAGTACCTGAGTAAAAATAAGAGCGTAGAGACTAGATTTCCCTTTAGCTACCTTCTAATACCCTGAAATTCGATACGTCAATTGCAAGGCATATTGCTGTCCACCACATCATGAATGTGCAAAATTGTTGCTATATCCAACACAGCAGTAAGTGTAATAAAATAGTGACCATTTTGAATAGGGATGATATGAACATAATTTATACTCTAATATCCACATCACTGTAAACCAATAAGACTTAAGAAAATGTAAAGTTCCTAATGATATTTTAAACTAAAAACAAATGACCAGAAGTTCAGAACTTACAAACTAGTAGAGAAAAAAAAAAGTAGCAGGACCCCGAGACATGAGTAGAGTATTAGTAGCTTGCACCGATGCGGATATACAGGAAACAAGCATATTGCCAATGTAACCACCGGCCAGACAAATGAAAGAAGTGTTTGCCAGAGAGGCCTTGGTTTTACAAAAGTCCATGCAAAGAAGGCATCATTCTCAGAAAATACTTGGTCCTGCAAATAACAATAAACCATTTACTAGATGTAGCGTGTGGTGGTTAGAAAATACATGAAGAGAAGAAAGCATACAGAAAGAAAAGATTTAAACATAAGTAAACCTACTAAAAGGACATTTCAAAACACTTTCGAGTAAGTTCACCCATTTCCTCCATAGTTTTCAATGTTTTATAAATATAAAATCAAAACATTGCAATCTAAAGTAAAAAATACAAAATGGTATAATAATATCACCACATGTAAACAGTACACAAATACAAAGTAAACATAAAAAGCGTAGTATGATCATAAAGAGTAGGAGTACATAGGCAATGCAGATATACTGAAATAAAAAAGTAGGATTTAGTCACCTTAAGTGGTTCCCAAGATGAAACAAAAAAACTAAAAGGCAGAGCTTGCAACTGCAAGGGTAGCAAGCTACTTGTACAAGAACAATTAAGAGGTTAATTAGCTCCCTTGAAATATTCCACGCGTGTCTCCTGTAGAACAGGCCACCTAGACACCAAATCCTTATTGTCTCTCACCTTCTCAGCAAACAATTGGAACACGGCTTTCTGAGTAGCTTATTTCTGAATGGAAATCACGTGGCAATCAATGCACAATGAAAATATAGGCAGTAGAAAACCAGTTGGCGAAAACCTATCTTTCCTTGAATGAAAAATTCCAAAATTAAAATTGGACAAATATAATAATCAAGCCGAGGAGCTATATCCAAAAGAAACAATAACTTCTCGTCACTGATTACTAATTACCTAAGGTTGAGATAATCAAGTGATAAAGAGAAGGATATTATAAGCAGTCGTGCACACTAACAAATTAAATTCATTTTTAGTATCACCATGTAGGCAACACCATCTAATTCTACAATGCAGAATATTCCAAAATCTCAGTATCTGAGCTATGTATGGATTTCCTTTGGAATTGGTGTGAGGCTGCCATCTTCGGAATTGAAGTTTGCATGCCATAGAGAAGACTAAAATCATGCAAGAAAACTTAAATTCACAACATAACATAATAGAATCACAAAGTTATCATCTGGTTGAAGGAATTCAGTACTGTCACAGATTCACAGTCTCCAATATTTACAGTATTGGAGAAAATATAAGGAATCCCAAAGTCCAAAAATTTGTTATCCTCCATAGTATTGGAGAAAATAAACTAATTCGATCATCAATTTACAATATTTACACAAGTGGATACCACAAATGTAACATCCCACATCGCCTAGGGGATTGGATCCTCTAAGCCTTGTATGTATATTCCCATCTCTACCTAGCATGAGGCCTTTAGGGAGCTCACTGGCTTCGGGTTCCATCGGAACTCCAAAGTTAAGTGAGTTCGTGCGAGAGCAATCCCAGATGGGTGGCCTACTGGGAAGTTCTCGTGTGAGTTCCCAGAAACAAAACCGTGAGGGTGTGGTCGGGTCCCAAAGTAGACAATATCTTGCTACAGTGGAGTCGAGCCAAGGATGCGGTGAGGGCCCGGGCTGGGATGTGCCAACAAAATCTTATGTTATACTGTTGTTCCTAAAAATTACAAAGCCTACGTGGCGCACAGGCCGAGTAACTAATAGGCTAACTAAGTCCTTCGGTAGAATGCGGAGCGTGCTAACTCGTCGGTCGAGCTCGGCTGAGGAGTAAAATTCGTTGTTGTCGCGTTGAGCGCGTTGCTGACTTCTTAATCTTGCGACTGCGACCGACGAAGGAGCACTCCCGGTCTTTAGGTTCTAGAGCCTGAAAACGAGGCTGCTAGTTCTGCGAAATTCACAAATCGTCAGTGCCTGATTCAGTCACCGTGATTATGTTCGTAAGAGTATAAGCATGTCGAATCGACACTAGACTATACGGACACAAATATTCAAAGGTGATGTATGTCTTGATGGTGAACGTGGTTCGGCCGTCAGAATGTCGAACTCTAAAACTTACTTGTGAATACCCAATCATAAAACCACTCGACGTCCGATACGCCAAATGTCGTAACTCGTGACACCTTACTTCGCCGAGAAAGCTGATAAGATGACCCCTGCCAATAAGGATTCGAAAACCCTCCTCGGCCGAGACTTGGATAGGTAACCAGTCGACCGAGACGCAGTGGTGTTTATCCAAACTGAAGATGCTCCTCGGTCGGCTGATTCTACGGCGACAATGCTATTTATCCAAACTGAAGATGTTCGCCGGTCACCTTCACAGTGTTGTTTATCCAAACTGAAGGTGTGTTGGCAGAAAAAGAAAAGGAAAAATCTCAAGGTGTTTGAGAGGTTTTGCGCAGGGCAATTGTATGTTTAATTAAAGGTCCTTCTTTGTTGCATGATTTCTTGTATTTATAGTACCCACTTCTTGAGACCGAATCAAACCCCTATCTGGATTGGGAGTCCTTGCCCCGTTCCAACTTTACTTCAAACAACCCTACTCCCATTAGGACTTTGAACTTACCCCCCTTCGAGGCTTTATTCCTCGCTGGCCGAGAATCCTAGTTTCACTAGGACTTCCTCAACCCTCTTTATTTATCTGGACTACTCCTTCTTATGATAGGACTCGACCGACCCTGCTAAATGGCCCGGAATTCATCAGGCAGCCCATAGTATTTGACACAGCTTTGGGTTGAGCATAACCTTATGCTCGGCCCAACAATATTATTTCGGGCCCAAACATTGCCCCCTTGCTTCTGAGGTCACCGACTGTCAACCTTTGGTCGGATTTCAACCTTGAAGAAGCGGAACCATCTTTTGCTCTTTAGACTTCGCTGTTCTTGATAACCATTACTATGCACATTTATGGGATATGATTGCACTATCCTCATTACTCCCGACGTACAGCCACTTGTCGACTCTCTGCCAATCCTAACAACTTTCAATCATGGCCCTCGAAATGTGCACCCACCAAAGCGCCTTTCCCTCATTAATGCATTAAAATCGCCGCCGCACGCAATCGTGCATCCTGGATCCTTGAAAACCCCGATCCTATCCTGTAGGTTCCCAAAATATCCGAAATGATTGGGGCCATTTCCCGATTAAATTTCCCCCCAATTCCAACTTTAGTGCTTTCAAATACCAAACGTTTGATCTTCTTTTTAAAACGCCTATAAATACCCAAATTTCTACCATTCGTATCCCACGCTTTCAGAAATTTTGAAATCTTCCCTTCGCCATTCCTGCTTGCTCAAACTACGCGCCCTCAAGCTCATTTCTTTGAAACCCTCTTTTAAACCTACGCACTACTTTATTCCTTACCAATGGCCTCCTTCATCTCCAAGCTTTCCAACGAGTGCAATAAATGCAAGGACTTTATCGACCGGAGCGCCATCAAAATGCTACGCTTCGAAAATGACCTAGCCACCACTCACCAAATTATGGGTCCACTATTCAAAGATGCAGTGCCGTCGTGCATCACCAACCTTCTCAAGGAACAGTGCTTAACACCCTTGCTGCAGGGGTTTGATTGGTCGAAATGGTGCCTGGCACGGCCTCAAGGAGCTTGACCCTCGACTACTGCAGCCTGGGCCGCCTGGGTCAACCGAATGAGCACATTCTTCGGCCAAGAGTGGAAAGCTCTCGGCATTTATGACGCCATCATGCTCTCGACCATGGATAGAGAACTGCTCATGGCTGCCCTAAGTTTATGGTGTTTGGCTACCAACACCATGATCCTTCCTTTCGGCCCTCTCGGCCCCACCGTCCTTAATATCTCGGCTATCCTTAGGACTTCCCCGTCTGGTCTCCCAATCAATGTCGCCCTTTCCGGATGCCCCTCGCCTTTCGACCTAAAAGCGTTGTTCGACGAACGGGCCATCGAGACACTCAGCCGAGGCGATCGGGAGCCTTCGAAAGAAGAGGTTCAGAAGCTACACAAGAACTTCTTCAATTACAACACTCTTATCCTCCACTTCGCCGGCCAAGGCGAGGAGAGCCTTAGGAAGGGAGAACATAAAGCCTTCCCATTCTACTGGTACAACAAATGAATTTGTTGTACCAGGTCGAACAAATGTTTGGTCAAGAATATGCCGGTGGCTCAGGCCTTGGTTAGCGGTTACTCCTTGGCACTCAGTCCGGCTATCCTCGCCAATTACTTTCGTTGTTTGGCCGAGACGACCATCAACAAAATCGACCCGCACCAGAACGGACCCCTCTGGGTATTCCAACTCTAGCTGCAGGTTTACTTCTCCACACTTCGGCCCGAGGTCCCCGTTTTCCAGCATACTGCAACGCTTGGTCCCTAACTAACCTCTCGATCGGCGCCTCTTCACCGGGCTGACGAAGTCCTCAAACACTTATTCGGCCTAGACGTCCTCTTTGACGACGAGTTCCTGGTGTGCCGGTGTCAGGAATACCCCTCATCGATCAGGCTTCCGACGGCAGCATGGGCCGAGACCGAAGATGCTGATCTTCGTCAACATTGGGGGTCATTCGTGCTGGTCCGCGACCTTCCCCTTGGTTGCGATGCCCATCGAGCGAGCTGGGAGGTCTATCATCCCCATTTCGTCGCCCGGCAGCTTGGCTACCTCCAAGGTTGCACCGTACCCCTGCTCGCTTCTCGCTCCCTCCTAAGTCGAGGACGCCTTTCTGGTTCCTCTAAGGGAGTGCAAGACGACGGAACAGGAGTTTCAGGACAAGTGTAAAAAATTTCAGCTTCGACCGACCGTTCTTGAATCTTTGGGTACCGACACCTTTGGGGACTGGTGGGACGAGTACACCGGTGACTTCTTTGGCGTCTCGGCCGAAGACGTGGTAAGCAGAATCTTCGACGATCGGCCCAGACAAGCTCCCGCGGCCCAACCCAAGGAATCGACCCAAGGTACATTGTCCTTTCGTCCTTTGTACTTCAATTACTTGCCCCCTGTTACTGATTACTTCACTATCTCAGGTGGTCGTGTGTTGAGAAAGGCGGAGGTGGTCGTCGTGGTGGTGGCCAAGAAAAAATTGGTCCCCACAAAGAAGATCGTTACTACCGGGCGGACATCATCAACCAAGCGCCCCTACCAAGACGCCGAGATGGGGGATGACGCTCCTCGCCCTTCCAAACGCGTCAAGAAGTTGGCTAAGAAAGGCAACCGAGAGATTTATGTTATTCCTAGCGACACCACAGGGACAACTGCTCTTGCAGTCTCTCTTTCCATCCCAGCTGCCCTGGCTTCGGAGCCGGCCATTGCGCTTACCTTGGGGGAAACGGCCGCACCCGTCGAGGCATCCCCCATCCAGCGACCGACGGTCATTCTGGAAGAGGTATGATTCCACCGCTATCCTTTGTTTATTTAACCTTCTAGTCGTAACAAAAGTTTCCTCAGGACGATGAGAGCGACGAGAGTGACGAGATCCTGCTGGAGCGTCGCCCTCGACCAGTCAACTCTCCTCCTGTCCATCCTCCTTCTGTGGTCGAGGCAGTCGTCCAACTGGATCCCCTTACGGCGGATCGTGGGAAAAGGCCCCTGGCC